TGTGTTGTGTAATTACACTACAGACAGCTGATGTGGTGTAGGAATAATACATTACTGTGTTGTGTAAAAAACACAACCAGCTGGTATGGTGTAGGAATAACACACTGTAGTGTAATTACACAACACAGTAACCACATCAGCTGTAACAAACTATATCACTCAAATTAAGATTGATAGAATTTGTTACTGTAACAAACTATATCACTCAAATTAAGATTGATAGAATTCACTACAGAAATTGCATGCTCCTGAAGAGGGCAGAAAGCTGAAATGTTGAGAAAATTAACCATGTTACAAGATTCTCTGGTGTTCACAGTCACTTATTAACTTATAAATATGTGTACTATGCTCTAGTCAGCATTACATAAATGTAAAAATTTAAACAGAAATTCCATTTGTGATAGCATGATCAATAATTAAAAAGAAATACATATTATACAATACAATTTAAGAGTATATTTAGTTCTATTTATAGAGTAGTCGCATCTGTTAAATGTAATTCACAGGCTCAATAGACCTTTCCAGATCACAAGACTTATGGGAAACACAACATTGGCATCTGCCATTTTCAATGTCAAGCCCTCCAACATTTAGTGTCTTTATTTGCAATAAAGCTGAGTAAATACGCTCTAATTCTTGAAAATTATGCCACGATGATTTATGAAAGTAAAATTGAGAGAACTTTATAAGGATGAATCTTTTGCTTTCAATTCATATGTAATTCTACAACTGGCTTGGACAACTATTCATGCCGGTGAGTTGATGTAAAATCAAACAATGACTAGTCCCCAGATATTGATATTTATGTGTATCTTGTTATTCCACCAGCAGCTTAACCCATGAAGTATGAAATGCTATCAAAACTTTGGTAGGTATAAGTTCTTTGTAGTAGGATGAAAGTAAAAGATTACAGTTTATGTTTTTGTATCTGCTATAAGTTTTTACTTTTCTTTATCACATAAAACATGTTGTCACCAGTATCAAGCATTAGTATTTATTTCACTGTGATGTGATTATGACACAGTGGTGTCTGACTGGCCGTGGCCTAATCTAACAACAAAACCTGTGTCACCATAATTACATACATTACTCCATAGTGCCCTTATCAAATATCAGTAGCTTCAATAATTAATAAATAGTGATGATACTTATACACATATTTAATGATAAAAGTCTGAATTTATACAAATATTACTTAACAGATTTATTTTGATACTTTTCACAAAATATGCACTGCAGATATGGAAATACTGTGAAGGTTGCCAATTTTGTCTCATAACTGAAGTAATAACCCCTATTGAATTTCTTTTTTAAGTCAGCTAGGAATCTTAAAAAGACATTCCCAGTGCTGAACCTTGTCTATTGGTTCAGCCAAACACAGTGGAAAGACATTTTCAAGTTTTTTTCACTGCATTGCTATCCAATATGACAGACACTAATTAAAAGAAAACAATAAGGTCACAATGTCTGAAAAGGTCTACTGCACTTGCTTTAATACTTCAGTATAATTTGTACATGTCTGTATGTGTTATGCCTATTGTATATGAAAATTTTGGTTTCTCAGCTGTATGCTTGTACACACAACAGTCAAATCACACAACTCAAAGCTTACTATTTCACTTCTTGTACCAACACAGCAACACTCACTCTCACATTATAACCAAGAATAAGCAAATCATCTTGCTTCTTTGATTCATAAAGTTTCAGTGATTTTTAAAATATGGCTACACTACATAACACCATCCCTAAAGCTAAAATGATAACATTTGATAAAATACTATTTAAACCTATCATATGGAAACTGTTCTAGTCAACCAGACTGTGTGCTTTCATACTTGAATAAGTTGTAAAGAAGTAGTACTTAACTAATTCACCAGGTGGAAAACAAAGTTCTATAATAGATATTAAAAACATGATAATACCAAAAAATCTTTACTATGAAAGTTTCGAGATTTCCTTAAATTCCATCATCAGCATTAGTATCACAAAAAGAAAGTTAGTTCATAATCTTCGAACTACAAAAAACAACATTAGCATTGAGCGATTTTTCGTATTCAATCCGAAGTTTAAAAAGAACAGATTTAAACAGTAACAATATAACAGAATGTATGATAAAAATGTACGGCATACATGTTTAATAAATAACATTAAGAGAAACTATTACAGTGAAAGGCTTAAATATAAAAATAAACACTGTATCTTTAAAATAATAATAAATATGAAATAAAAACACATAATTTGGAATTGATTACATTCATGACAACAGGGAAGAGTTGATATTATTATTTAGTGTTGGGTAATCATTGAAAATGTAGAGACTTTCTTAATAAACTGTTTTTGTATCTGTGGTTCTGGAGTCAAGAATTTTAAAGTTTTCTAGTAGTAGGGGGGTGGTTGTTATTCTCACTGTACAACCACATACAAGACTCAGGTGGATTAATTAGTTTAAATCCACTTCTTGCTGAAATTCCCATGTGCTCGCATGCACATATTTGTAGGTGACATGTAGTTTTACCAATATAGATAGCTTTACAGCTATCTCAAGTGTGTGTGTGTGTATATATATATATATACACACACACACTTTATATACCAAACATGAGTGCATAGGAATGAGTAGAACGTCTTTAGTTTTAAACATATTTTTAATTCTAAATGTTGACGTAAATACTAAATGTAGCTTAATTTGTGGGTATTATATATTTTGATTATTTTTTGAATTTGATATTTGAATTTAAAACTTTGTTTGCCAATGAAAGGAATGATAAGAACTAGTGGATATTTTGAGACAGTGTGTGGCTTTTCGGTAGGTTCTACTTTATTTGTTAAAAATGTTCGTGTGATAAAGTGTAAGAAATTAAGGGGATAACAATTACTTTGTAATATGTCATGAATGTTTGAAGACAGAAGTAGTCAGAACATATATTATACAAACTGTTTAGAAAATTTAGAACAAGGTTCTGTTTGAAAGAGCCTGGTATGAAACTGTCGAAAGGAGTGTTTAAACCAGTAAATGTTTTCTTACAGATGTGGTAAAGAGATAGTTTATTTTGTTTACTTGGATGTCTATAAAAGTTATTGTTTTATTCTATCTCACATGTAAAGTTTATACACGAATGTTGTGTGTTTAGGTATTCTAAACATGTCTTGGTGTGATCAGCGTTGTAAAAGAGTAGAAAAGTATCTTTAATGTACCTTCTATATAATACTGGTTTGTAATAAAGGGGACAATTATCCAGCCATTGAAGTTTGTAATAACATAGACAAAAATGCAAAGGTCGGACCTAGAGGTGATCCCATTCATCTGGTCATAAAGATGACCATTAAACACAAAGTGATTGTTCTTGAGGGCCAATTTAAAAAATTGTTGAAATTTTTCTTGATTAAAGTTAGAGTGTAGAAATTTCTGGTAGGGAATAACTGTTTAATAATTACATTAATTGTTTCCTCAAGTAGGATGTTAGTAAACAAGGACTGAATATCAAAGTTGGCCCTAATGAATTGGTCTGCATTAGGAAATTTAAATATCTCTTGAGCAAAGAAAACATAATCTTTAACAGTAAATTCGTTATTAGTCAGTGAACTTAATGCAGATACAAGATATTTAGCGAGTTTGTAGGTGTGGGGACCAAGAGTAGATAGAATAGGTCTGAGGGGTAAACCATTTTTATCCTACAGGTTCTCACCTTGGTTGTATGTATGGCTTACCAAAAATAAATAAAAATGGTTTATATCTTAGACCAATTCTATAATAGTCTCTCTTAACAATGTTATTTATTAAACACGTGTATGCCACACATTTTATTGTACATTCCAATTCGTTACCATTTAAGTCTCTTCTTTCCAAACTTCCGACTAGATGTGAAAACTTGCTTGGTGCTAATGTTATTTTTTTGTAGATCAAATATTATGAACTAACTTTTTTTTGAGATACTAAAGCTGATGATGGAATTTATGAAATTCCAAAATGTCCATATTAAAGATGTTTTTGGTATTACCAAGTTTTTAATATTTAGTATTTAACTAATTTCCTTTTTTTTGAGTATTATCATTTGACTTAATCTCATGTACTCTGCTAACTTCAACATGAGAATTATTTTAAATTTTAGATCATGCGGTTTAGAATAAAATGGCCACCCGAAAAACTTTCTAAACTCCACCACTTAATGACTGGCAGGAAATTATACTCTCAAGACCAAATCTTTACCAGAAGTGAATGGAACAAACCAGTTCAGTGCATGCATTTGCTCAAGCAACCAAAACAAAAAACTTTTGACATTAGCTACACATGTAGAAATAAAATTTTATCTCGTCTTACATTATAAGAACTTTTTGAATCATAAAAATTGTAAGAGAATATGATGTAACAACTTGTACAATATAACACAACAAAAAGGTATACACATAGCGTACGTGAATATCTCGCAGGCAATCACCAAGGCTAATACAGATCATTATAACAATAAACTACCAATATTTTAAATTCTGATGAATAAAACAACATTCTAGCTTTATTCTGTGAAGACGAATAACTTTTTTTTTTTTGGTCACAAAACTCTGAAGTTGCTAGTGATTAAATTTAACCACTTTCTTTACGTAAGCTTTACATAATCTTGTATGCAATAATTCTCGACTTACACACTAGGCAAGAATCTTATCGAAACACAACTATATACAATACACAGTTAAAACTTTCCAGAATAATTGATTTGAATTTCATTAACAGCTGATGAGAACACAAAGAAATGTTTCTTTCAGATTTCAAGTTTTCTATAGATTCAAATAATTAATATTTCTGGTGACAGAGATTCACTATTTTTGCTTATTCAGTTATTAGAACTGTACCTGGCACTACAGAATAAACATATTAACATAAATGAAAACTATCTACTGTTACATAGATTAAATTGTGTAAGCTTAAGTTAAGTGTGGGAGTCTTTTTTAGCACTGACACTACATATGTCTGTTTAAAGTTAGTGTACATTATATATATATATACTCATAAAATCATAAAAAGGCTATAAAAAGTCTAATAAAACAAAAGGTTAACATAAACATTGTAAGAATTAGACTATACAATTTCTTAAAACTGTAACTCTTAATTATTGTGCAATCCCTTCCCCCTCATACTCATTGAACTGAAGGCACAAATTCAATGTTTGTTTTGAACTTGACATCCTTTCCTACCCTTAAGTTTTGCTACTTTGATAGCAGGGGATACATTCGATTGTAAAGTTCTTTTTTTGGGCTTCCCAGAGCAGGAATGTTTAGTTTTACCTCCTATCTCAGGACTGCTAGGTTTAGATGATTTAAGGAACGACTGGGGCCTGCGTTTAACCATCCTGCTAAGATAAACATTCCCCAACTCATCGGTACTTACACCCAATGGAGCTGATTTTGAGGGTTGGTGTTGACATAAGTTGAAAGAACTAGATGTGCTGATATCTGACTGAGGGAAGAGACGGGAAGAGGATGGGCGGCGACGGCATGAGCGGGAGGATGTACAGGTACTGAGGCTTGACTGAGGGGACGGCTGCTGACTCGTGGGCTGCTCTAATCGTCATCTTGGCATAGCTGTCTTCAAGGTTCTTGTTGATGTGTTCTTCATGTTGCTAGGTACAAGAATTGCAAGAAATGTTAAACAAAAAATTAATTACAAGAAAATCTAGTGTGAAATTTCTTTGACTATGTTGGTGATAAAAGAAAATACATTCATCAGCTGAAATGGATTGCTTGCTGCTATAAACTAGTGCAATGCAACAAAACAGAATGGCTAGAACACAAAGTAAAAGCTTATACCATCTGTAAGTAGTTCCTTTTCAGGCACTTGCTGCTCAGTTACATCGCAAGAATCTAGAAGTTGTTAAAGAATATTCTTCAAATAACGTTTTACATATTTTCTTTCTCTTCATCTCTACCTTCTTTTTTTCACATTCCAAACATTTTACATGCATGTTCTTCATTCAAAACAGCAGGTATTACTATTTTCATGCTATTAAATCCTTTTTATACTAGCTCATACATACTAAAACATGACCACCTTCAAATTAATATCAAATAAGGTTGGTAGGAACCAGATCAGATTATTGCACAATGATTTTTGGCTAGAGCAGTACATTAGAAAACATCGTACCAGTTGTATTAAACCATATTATCACAATGTGATTGCAGTTATTTAGTTAAATCACAGATACAAGTGCCAACAATAACAGAGGGAAGCATGCAAAGGGTGTCATTTGGAACAAGATTTGTCTTCACTGCATACTATACTCTGGTACACATCTAGACTTACAGCATTGGAGCACTATGGTAACGAGGCATGCGTTGTCTTCCAGTCATGACACCAATAAGTTTGGACTCATCTAAGGCTACAGGTTCAAGGTTAGTCACAGAATGGGGTAACAGAGGACGAAGGTAAGAATTATGCTTAGGAAAAGTCAAGCAGCTGCTACAGTCCACAGATGAAGAGAGATAAAGCTGACTGACAGAACAGTTCTGATTCCCAATCCTTTGAATTGGTACCACTAGGTGACGCCACAAGCGTCTATACATAAAATTGAAACCATAAACAAGGGAGAGAGAATGACAAAAAAAAAATACATACTGTATTTAGCATATGATTATAATTTAGGAAAAAGTACAAAAATTAATTAAAAAATTCAAACCTGTCTAAAATAAGATGAGTATCAGAACCAATATGCACAGATATATATTTATATTAGCAAAAATACAAATTTTCTCACTAGCTTTATAATATCATTAAACACAAAGTTCATCCTAAAAATTCAGAACATTTCAACAAGCACAACAGTTTTAATAAAAGAATGTGTAAAGCTTGATACTTTTACAAAAGGATTTTGTAAAATTATTTTCTCATTGGTATGTACAATTGTGCTGCTAAATTTAAGCCTCTGATTGTCAGACTAGTTCAGCTGATCAACGTGCTTCCATTTAAGGTAGAGCAGAATGAATGTTCTTTGTTTAAGGTGGTATCCACAATATGTTACTGAGCAAATTTTATGAATAATTACATAATGAAATCCATAGTATCTAATAACTTGTCTGTCTGCTCAAACTTGACTTCATTTCTCTACATAGAAATGTATTATTCCTACACCACATCAACTGTTTGTGGTGTAATTACACAACATAGTAATGTGTTATTCCTACACCACATCAGCTGTTTGTATTTTTTTACACAACACAGTAATGTTATTCCTACACCACATCAACTGTCTGTGGTGTAATTACACAACATAGTAATGTGTTATTCCTACAGTTGCCTCAACAAATATCACTCAAATTAAGATTGACAGAATTTGTTGCCACAACAAACTATATCACTCAAATTAAGATTGATAGAATTTGTTACTATCCAAATTCTGTCAATCTTAATTTGAGTGATATAGTTTGTTGTGGCAACAAATTCTGTCAATC